AAGATGAAAAATCTCGAGAGATCTTCTTCACAACAATGTGAATATATTTAATCCTAATGAAATCACATTTTTAAGTTGTTGAGATTGTAAATTTTCATGTTATTGGTTTGTTTTTATTTTTAATTTTTAAAATTTATTTTTAAATTTATTTACATTTAATCGCATCTTTAGTACACATTTCTTTTTCTAACACAAATACTATGCATGTCAGTCAAGACAAAGATATTACTATATATATTGTCATCAGCAAATAGCTTCATTTTTTGTCAAATAAGCATACTTCTACCAGTTTTTTCTTTCTCCTTTCCCTGCCCTCCTTCTGTACTAAACTGGTTTTTTGTTTTTAATTTTACTGATTTATAAAAGATCTTAAAATATGAACAAAGCTAGAATCTAGTGACAAGTGCACTGTAATTTTCTTCTCAAACAATTTTTTGTCTCTCTCCATTCCCCTCTTTACTAAAGAGAGGTATAAACTAACTTATTTGCAAAAAAAAAAAAAAAATTAGGTTAATCTCAATTTGGTCTGTTATTTTGCACAAAGTCTCATAAGAATTCAATTTCTGATACAAGGCAACAGATGCTATTATATTATTGAACTTATGCAAATAACCATTCTGCCACAAAATAAGAATGCTCACAGATATTTTCCAATTGCAAAGGGGCCAGGAAGGGAGAAAAGTTTATGTTTCAATTAAAAGACTTTTTAAAACAAATTGCTGAACTTATCAACAACTCAAAAGAAAACAAAAGTCCTTAAATCTGGAAGACAAATCATAGGAGAAAATCAGTAATGTTTTAGAAAAAAGTCATAGAATTCTATTTCGACAGTTCAGTCTGACCTTTCCATTAACATTCAACATTATTATTGATATTTCGGAACTTGTCCCTACCATTAAGTTGGCCTTTTTCTTGGTCATTTTTTGTCCTTTGTCTATCTGTCTTTAATTTTCCTGGTAAAGCACTCCCTTCAGACCTTCTCAAAGAGCTGTCTAGGCCCTTCTTCAAGAGGCAGACAGCTCCATGGCTCCTGTGATCTAGCCATTTGGGGAGAAAGGAAGATGTCCCACTGATAACTGGGCCTCCAGCATCCAAAACTCGCGTGAACAGCCCTTCTTCAAGAGGCAGACAGCTCCATGGCTCCTGTGATCTAGCCATTTGGGGAGAAAGGAAGATGTCCCACTGATAACTGGGCCTCCAGCATCCAAAACTCGCGTGAACAGCCCTTCTTCAAGAGACAGCCAGCTCCATGGCTCCTGAGATCTAGCCATTTGGGGAGAAAGGAAGATGTCCCACTGATAACTGGGCCTCCAGCATCCAAAACTCGCGTGAACAGCCCTTCTTCAAGAGACAGCCAGCTCCATGGCTCCTGAGATCTAGCCATTTGGGGAGAAAGGAAGATGTCCCACTGATAACTGGGCCTCCAGCATCCAAAACTCGCGTGAACAGCCCTTCTTCAAGAGACAGCCAGCTCCATGGCTCCTGAGATCTAGCCATTTGGGGAGAAAGGAAGATGTCCCACTGATAACTGGGCCTCCAGCATCCAAAACTCGCGTGAACAGCCCTTCTTCAAGAGACAGCCAGCTCCATGGCTCCTGAGATCTAGCCATTTGGGGAGAAAGGAAGATGTCCCACTGATAACTGGGCCTCCAGCATCCAAAACTCGCGTGAACAGCCCTTCTTCAAGAGACAGCCAGCTCCATGGCTCCTGAGATCTAGCCATTTGGGGAGAAAGGAAGATGTCCCACTGATAACTGGGCCTCCAGCATCCAAAACTCGCGTGAACAGCCCTTCTTCAAGAGACAGCCAGCTCCATGGCTCCTGAGATCTAGCCATTTGGGGAGAAAGGAAGATGTCCCACTGATAACTGGGCCTCCAGCATCCAAAACTCGCGTGAACAGCCCTTCTTCAAGAGACAGCCAGCTCCATGGCTCCTGAGATCTAGCCATTTGGGGAGAAAGGAAGATGTCCCACTGATAACTGGGCCTCCAGCATCCAAAACTCGCGTGAACAGCCCTTCTTCAAGAGACAGCCAGCTCCATGGCTCCTGAGATCTAGCCATTTGGGGAGAAAGGAAGATGTCCCACTGATAACTGGGCCTCCAGCATCCAAAACTCGCGTGAACAGCCCTTCTTCAAGAGACAGCCAGCTCCATGGCTCCTGAGATCTAGCCATTTGGGGAGAAAGGAAGATGTCCCACTGATAACTGGGCCTCCAGCATCCAAAACTCGCGTGAACAGCCCTTCTTCAAGAGACAGCCAGCTCCATGGCTCCTGAGATCTAGCCATTTGGGGAGAAAGGAAGATGTCCCACTGATAACTGGGCCTCCAGCATCCAAAACTCGCGTGAACAGCCCTTCTTCAAGAGACAGCCAGCTCCATGGCTCCTGAGATCTAGCCATTTGGGGAGAAAGGAAGATGTCCCACTGATAACTGGGCCTCCAGCATCCAAAACTCGCGTGAACAGCCCTTCTTCAAGAGACAGCCAGCTCCATGGCTCCTGAGATCTAGCCATTTGGGGAGAAAGGAAGATGTCCCACTGATAACTGGGCCTCCAGCATCCAAAACTCGCGTGAACAGCCCTTCTTCAAGAGACAGCCAGCTCCATGGCTCCTGAGATCTAGCCATTTGGGGAGAAAGGAAGATGTCCCACTGATAACTGGGCCTCCAGCATCCAAAACTCGCGTGAACAGCCCTTCTTCAAGAGACAGCCAGCTCCATGGCTCCTGAGATCTAGCCATTTGGGGAGAAAGGAAGATGTCCCACTGATAACTGGGCCTCCAGCATCCAAAACTCGCGTGAACAGCCCTTCTTCAAGAGACAGCCAGCTCCATGGCTCCTGAGATCTAGCCATTTGGGTTCTTTGCCTTCTCTCTCTATTTTAATTTCCTACCTTCTTTTTCTTTACCTTACTCTTTTTTTTATTTTTAATTTTTAAAATTTATTTTTAAATTTATTTACATTTAATCGCGTCTTTAGTACACATTTCTTTTTCCAACACAAATACCATGCATGTCAGTCAAGACAAAAATATTACTATATATATTGTCATCAGCAAATAGCTTCATTTTTTGTCAAATAAGCATACTTCTACCAGTTTTAGAAAAAAGTCATAGAATTCTATTTCAACAGTTCAGTATAACCTTTCCATTAACATTCAACATTATTATTGATATTTCGGAACTTGTCCCTACCATTAAGTTGGCCTTTTTCTTGGTCATTTTTTGTCCTTTGTCTATCTGTCTTTAATTTTCCTGGTAAAGCACTCCCTTCAGAACTTCTCAAAGAGCTGTCTAGGCCCTTCTTCAAGAGGCAGACAGCTCCATGGCTCCTGTGATCTAGCCATTTGGGGAGAAAGGAAGATGTCCCACTGATAACTGGGCCTCCAGCATCCAAAACTCGCGTGCTATGATGTGCTTTGGAAAAGATTTTCTTGGATTGATTCTCTGTGGAGTCCTTTGTATTTCTTGGGTCTGGATATTTGAATGCCTTTCTAAGTTTGGAAAGTTTTTCCCCAGGATTTCATGGACTAGATTATCAATACCATTATTAGTTTCTTCACCTTCTAGGATACTGATTATCCAGATGTTTGGGGGTCTAATGGTATCTAGTATTACTTGTGTATTATTCTCATTTATTTGGGTTACTTTCTTAGTTTTTTGGTGAATTTTTCTAGGTCAGAGGTTCTGTCTTCTACATCTAATATTTGATCTTCTGCATGATTTAATCTGCTTTTAACATTTTCAAAGGGAGGTTTTGATTTCCTGTATTACAGCCTTCATCTCTAACAGTTCCATTTGATTCTTTTTAATGGTGTGTATTTCCTCTTTCAGATCATGGAAGAACTTCCTCGTCTTCTGAAACTTGTTTCTTTCCTCCTGCATTTTCTGGAGTTCGTTGTCTCTCTTCTCTTACATCTCTGTTAGCTTTTTCAGTATGAATATCCTAAATTCTTTATCTGACATTTCCATGAGTTCTACTGTATTGTCTGTGGATGATGAACGGCTGTTCTTTTCCTGTGGGGGAGATATATTTTCTTGATTTCCCATACTTCTTGTGCCTTTGTGGTGGTTTCTGGTCATCTAATGGATTATAAGTTATTTCTGACCTTCAGGCTTTTTGCTGGGTGTTGGGCTGGAAGGAGAGGTTTGGGGAAGAGGACTTCTGGTTAAAGGGGCAGGGCTAGGCCCACCTCAGATGCACATGGATTTTGGCTTTTTGCTGGGTGCTGGGCTAGAACAAGAGGTTTGGGGCAGAGGCTTTCCTGTTAAAGGGGCAGGGCTAGACCCACCTCAGATGCACATGGATTCTGGCTTTTCACTGGGTGTTAGGCCAGAAGGAGAGGAGGGTTATTGGTTTTTTTTTTTTACGAGAGATTTTTGCTATAGGGCACATGTGCTTACCAGAGAGACAGAGACAGAGACAGAAAGCGAGAAAGAGGAAGGATGGCCATACCCTAATCCCTTCTCCTTCATTCTCCTCTCGGGATTTTGGGCACATTTGCATATGCACCTGGAATGAGTTTTAAGCCGCTGGGTCTGGAACTTGAACTGTGGTCGACTATGTGGGAGTCCAGTGATGGGACCATTACGCTATCTGCTGGTCCCTATATTATATATTTTTTACAATAACAATAATAAAAAAAGGTCAGGGGCCAGCAGGTAGCATGGTGGTTGGTTAAAGCACTGAACTCCCAAATAAATGATCGCATTTGGAGTTCTGGACATGGTAGCTTGCTTTCTCTCTCTCTCTCTCTGGTGAGCATGTGTGCCCTATAGCAAATTAAAATATAATAACAATAATAATAAAATTAAAAATTCTTTGAAAAGAACTGAGAAAACTGACTAAAGTCTATTTTTTTTGGTGTATGTGTTGCAGAAACAAGTATCTGAATATATTCTTTGCAATATCATTTTATGTTAAAATAAACCTCTTTAAGGACATATGAACCACAGATAATACTAAATATAAAAACATTTTACATTCACAAAACCTTGTTACCTGCAACAAATCCAACTACCAGATCTTTTCCAGTAGTAGAACGTTGACCTTTGACCCAGACTGCTTTGAGGCTATTAAAAGTGTAGAAATAGACAAAATTGGAGCAGCAGAGACTGGAAATAACGGGAAACCATCCTCGATATGGTGCCAAGCTAGGGAAAAACACAGTAAGCAAAATAAAGGTCATGGACAAAAGCCATCAGAAACTGTCAAAGAAGTCCTCGGAAAAGCTGATCATCACTCACATAGCCCCAACGTTCATTCCTACACTACAAAGAACTCCGAATTGTACCCAGACCTTATATTCTAAAGAATATCCAAATAAAAAAAATCTATTTTAGCATTAACTGTATCAAAGTCAATGACTGATTTATAATTTCTCCTCTCAATTTCCTTTAGTAGCATTCATATATAAAATTGGAGACAACTTCTTTATGGTGGTGAGTCAATACAGCATCATTCATGTTTTATTATATGGCAAGAACACTTAAAATACTGTGTTGCTGGAAAAGTCATGACACATTTTGCACAGAAAAGCAGAAAAAATATGCCATAACTTTTATGACAACCTAATAATTATAGAAAATAAATGCAAAAAAAGCCCCCAAAAATGATGGGGGTGGGCCAGTGGGTGGCGTGGTGGTTAAGGTGCTGGATCTCAATGGCTGACTGCACAGTTAGAGTCCCATACCTGAAGGCTTGGAAAACACGCCAGGCACGTGTACATGTGCACCCAAAATCCTAAGAGGAAAGTATTAGAGAAGGGACTGGCATGGCCATCCCTACTGGTGAATGATTTCTTACTTTCCCTCTTTCTCTGTCTCTCTCCAGCGAGTGCACATGCCCTAGAACAAAACTACTGGGTCATCAGAAAAGCCGTGACATATTTTTTTACGCAAAAATGGGTCATGGCTTTTCTGACAATCCAATTTAAAAAAAATTGTAGGATTTGCTACTCCTTAATGCTTCTAACAGGAATGAACATAACAACTGTTCACTTCTTTAGCTTACTGCACATAAAACAGAACATTGATTTCATGGAAGACTTTATGATCAAGAATCAAATGGCTGGCAGAGCTGGCAGGTGGCATGATGGAAAAGGTAGTTGAGGTGCTGGACTCCCACATGGCCAACTGTGGTTTGAGTCCTGGACCTGATGGCTTGCTTTCTCACTGTCCCTCCCTCTGTCTCTTTCTGGTCAAATTAAAAAATAACAATATATAATATTAAATAAATAATTCTTTAAAAATTAAAAGAATCAAATGGGTAACCATATATCTTTAAGGAATTAAAAACAATTCTGTACTTACAAGCCAGGCAATTAAAATTCATAACACTACGAAGATATGAGAATGAACAGGAAGTGAGTGCCAGTGAACTGGAGGCAAACGGGTCTCCTAACAAGTTGATGAAATGAGGTCGTACTCACAGGCCTTCTTCTTTAATGATCTCCAGCAGCACCATGTGTGTAGTTTTGGACTTTCTTTTTTCATCAACTATAAGACCAAAGAGCATATGTTTAAATGCTTTGAAAATTACTATCTTCAGCATCAGCAAGTTTCACTGAAATGGCACTTACCTTACTTGAACAATCTCTCCCCTTATTCTTTGAGCTCCCTAGTTTGCCTCAGAACTTACTGTTCCTTTTGTGTGACTGTTTGCTAAATTTCCAACTGTAGATTCCTATGATTCACCTGTTATTCGTAAACCACAGAGCGTCAAATGGCCAGTCATGGTGGTGCAGTGGTAACGTAATGCTTTACAACACAGAACCACATGGAAGAGTCCCTGCTTTGTATCCCAGGGTCTCCTTGTGCACACTAGGCATGCGTGAGTGCCTGTGATTTGGGTTATATAATAACAGAAGCCGAACACAGTGTGAGGAGATTTTTTGGGGGTGCTGTTTCTCTCTCTCATAGAAAAAATAATAAAGTTAAAAAAATTTTTTAAAGCATTTCAGCTCCTAAAAAGTAAAAGATCAAGCTCTCATAAAGTACTCATTGTTTTTCAGTTTTAGATATTTTCTCATTTTAATTTATTTTATTGCCAGAGAGAGAGATGGGGGCAGAGTGAGGGAAGAGAGGGAGAAAGCACTCTTCTGTCAGGGGCTTGATCATGCGGCAATCCCTTCTCCTCCATTTCTCCATCCTGTTGGGACTCTGGGCATGCATGCACATGCACCCAGTGTATTTTTCTTTTCTTTCATTTGTTTTCTTTAAAGAATTATTTTAGGGACCAGCAGTTAGTGTAATGGCTATGTCACTGAACTCCCATGTAGCCGACCACGGTTCGAGTCCTGGACCTGGTGGCTTAAACTCACGCTGGGTGCATGTGTGTGCGTGCCCAGGATCCCAAAGGGAGAATGGAGAAGGGATTGCAGCGTGGCCATCCCCCTGGGGATAATTTCTCGCTTTCTATTTCTTTGTCTCTCTTTGTCTTTCTGGCAAGCGCACAAGCCCTATAGCAAAAAACTCTCCCCCCAGAAAAAAGACTTATTTTATTTAACTTTATTTATTTATTTACTTATTTTAATTTTACTGCGGCGGGGTGGGGGTGGGGGGAGGAGAGTGAGAAAGCAAGCTGCCAGGTCAGGACTCGAACCATGGTTGGCCATGTGGGAGTCCAGTGTCCTTTACCACCATGCCACCTGCTGGCCCCATCCCAGTGTATTTTTCAAATCAGGACTCAAACTGTGGTCAGTCATGTGGGACCTGACTTCCTTAAACACTAGGCTATGAGGTCAATCCTACATATTTTTTTCTTTTATTGATTTTTGCTTTTGTGCACATGTGCTCGCTAGAGGGAGAAACAGAAAGTGAGAAATCACCCCCTAGAGGGGATGGCCCATGCTGCAATCCCTTCTCTACTCTCCTCCTGGGTACGCATGCACGCATATCTGGTTTGATTTTTCAAGTCACTGAGTATAGGACTTGAATCACGGTTGGCCATGTGGGAGTCCAGAGCCTTAACCACTTCGCCATCAACTTTTAACATCTTATACAGAGAAGAAATAAATTATCATTTCCTTTTTAAAGTATAGAAGAGGTTTCAGACACAGGCCAGCAGATGATGGCATAATGGTTACATAGTTGACTGTGGTTCGAGTCCGGACCCTGCAGCTTAAAACTCATGCCAAGTGCATGTGCATGCACGACCAAAATCCTGAGAGGAGACTGGAGGAGAAGAAATTGCGGCATAGCCATGGCCATCCCTCCTTGGGGCTGATTTCTTGCTTTCTGCCTCTCTATCTCTGTCTTTCTAGCAAGTGTACGCACCCTATACTAAAAATCTCTCTCTCAAAAAAAAGAAGAGGTTAGAGACACAAAATTTGTGAAGGGCACATGTGGGTTGGTAGCAAAGCCAGGATTAAAACTCAAGTTTTAGCCTGGTGCTCTGTCTCTTAATCTAAAAAACAGAAGGTCTCGAAAGTATGAGAATTCTGTATTCTCTGTTACTTCAATTAACTTCAAACTTCCTAATCACACTTGAAAAATCATTTAAGAACATAAAACTATAAACATTCATCAATCTCCTAAGAATTAAAATTAGTACCAGTACAGCTTGTGGGATGGTAAATCAGTAAACCCTAACTGCTATCTGGCAATAACCACCGAGATCACAAACACATTTACCCTTTGATCCTGTATCCCACAGAATTTATAGAACCAAGGTGCTGTATGAACAAGTCTATTTGAGGATCACTACTTGCAGTAACAAAAGAGTAGGAATGACCCAAGAACCTATACTAGGTGAAGGGTAAACAGGTTCTGGTGCATTCACATCATGGAATGCCATATAGTTATAAGACAGGATGAATGTGCTGGTTTGGAAGGCCTCTAATATACTGTTAACTGAAAACTACAAAGAAGTGTGTAAAGTATGCTTTTTGTGTAAGAAGGAGAGAAAAATTAAGATGATATGCTCTTGGGACCAGCAGATCAGGTGTAATGGTTACATCGCTGGTCTCCCACATATTCAACCACGATTCAAGTCCCAGACTTGGTGGCTTAAAACTCATGCTGGGTGTGTGTGCATGTGTGCTCAAAATCCTGAGAGGAGGATGGAGAAGAAGGGTCTGCGGTATGGCCATCCCCTCTTGAGGGTGATTTCTCGCTTTTTGTCTCTCTGGTAAGCACATGTGCCCTATAGCAAAAATCTGTCAAGGAAAAAAAAAGGATAATATGTTCTTATTTGCTTGTTATTCTATAAAGAAAGTCTGCAAAGCTGGGGCCAGCAGGTGGCATGGTGGTTAAGGGCACTGGACTCCCACATAGCTGACTGTGGTTCGAATCCTGGACCTGGCGGCTTGCTTTCTCACTTTCCCTCTCCCCCACCACCCCCTACGTCCTCACTCACTCTCTGTTCCTCTCTGATCAAATAAAAATAAATAAAGTTAAAGAAATTATTTAAAAAAAAAAAAAGTTTGCGGGACCAGCAGTTGGCGTAATGGCTATGTCACTGGACTCCCATGTAGTCCATTGTGGTTCAAGTCTCGGACCCAGTGGCTTAAACTCACGCTGGGTGCGTGTGCGTGTGTACCCAAGATCCCAAGAGGAGAATGGAAGAGAAGGGATTGCAGTGTAGCCAACCCCCCTCGGGGGCGATTTCTCACTTTCTGCCTCTCTGTTTTTCTCTTTCTTTCTGGCGAGTGCACATGCTCTATAGCAAAAACCTCTCCAAAAAAAAAAAAAATTTGCAAGGCTATTCAAGAAATTAAGGGAACCAGCAGTTAGTGTAATGGCTATGTCGCTGGACTCCCACGTAGTCGACCGCGGTTCGTATCTCGGACCCGGTGGCTTAAAACTCACGCCGGGCGCGTGTGCGTGCGTGCCCAAGATCCCGAGAGGAAAATGGAGGAGAACGGATTGTGGCGTCCTGGGGGGTGATTTCTCGCTTTCTGTCTCTATGTCTCTCTCTGTCTGCCTGGCGAGCGCATGCACCCTACAGTGAAAATCTCTCCAAAAAAAAAAAAGAAATTAATAAAGGTTTTACCTGCAGTGGAGAGGAAAGGGAGAAGGGGCAAAAGAGCTCGATTTTCATTGGACTGTATTCCTTTTTATATACAATGTGAACTTCAAAGAGTTCATGGAAAAGTGCAATTGAACTATGAATTCATTTGGTACAAAAAAACCTTTGAAATCCATAAATAGTTTTTTCATAATATGCTTTTTCTGTGAACTTTGTGAAGACTGTGCACGTATTTTGCCTTCTGAATTATATAAAATTATTACCTATCCAGAAACTAAAATTAACCAAAAATAGTAGGTATGAAGCATTTGCCTTTTGTACTAGGATCCAAAGCTAATCCTATTTATCTTTTCATATAACTTTTGGTGTTGGGTTATAAGTTCAAGTGGAAAAATAATAGAGAAAGAAACAAGCAAGAATTACAATGAGTGCAATGTTCTATAAAGCTAGAGACAAATTAGGTTTGCTAGTCTTCCTTCTCTTTTGTCAAAATCTACCTCCCTCAAAAAACTCTATTTTGTGCCTTAAAGTCATACGGCAGCCAGTAGATGGTGTGGTGGTTAAGGGGTTGAACTCCCATGCAGTTGATCATGGTTCAAGTCCCAGACCCGGTCGCTTGAAAATCATGCCGGGTGAATGTGCATGTGTGACCAAAATGCCAAGAGGAGACTGGCAGAGAAGGGGCTGCAGAGTGGCCAAACCCTTAGGGGTTGATTTCTCATTTTCCCTCTGTCTCTTTCAGGTAAGTGAACCTGCCTCTGGGATTTGAACCTCAGAGGTGGCCACGTGGGACCCAATGCCGTAACTACCATGCCATCACTGTCCCTTCACTAACTTTTAATACTGGTCATCATCATTTCTTATTTAGCAGAATCATTCATGAATAAGACATAGTACTGGGTTGTCGGAAAAGTCATGATGTATTTTTTTAATTTAAAAATGTGTCATGACTTTCCAGACAATCCAATAATTGCCATGATCTGAGAGAACCTGAGTGGGCTTGCATTAATGATTTTGAATCATTACAATTTTTTCTGATAAGCTCTCTCTATATATAAAATTGTTTTTAAAGTTTTTGCCTTAAGAAAAAAAGGGCACGTGTGTGCATGCCCAAAATCCCAAGAGGAGAATGAGGAAGGAATTGTGGTACGGCTATCTCCCACTAGGGGGCTCTTTCTCAGTTACTTTCTCTCTCTGGCAAGCAAACTAGGCTTGACAGCAAAAATAAAGTAAAATAAAGTCAGTGAAAACAGAAACAGTGGCACTCAAAACAAAACAAAACAAGATATCCTTACATTAATTTAGAATTTACTAGAGAAAATGTTTGTTTCCCAAAATCAAATGAACAGGAATATAATTACTACAAAAGATAAATACTCACCCTGAAGTCGAAGTCTAGCTGTATCCAAGGGGAAAAATACTGTCATTGCTGTTACACTTCCCTGAAAAGGATGAAAAAGGCTTTAGCCATTATGGTATCACTGGTTTTAAGTGAACAAAAGTTCATTATTAATGATATGACTAACTGGATTTTCAGTGAACAAGTACCTACAATATTTTAATCTATTGTGATTACTATTGTTTAAATTTCTACAGTTATATACTTAAACAGAGATATTTAATTTTCCAGAAGAAATATCTTCTCTTTTGGGGCCAGCAGATGGCATGGTGGTTAAAGGCGCTGGATTTCCACATGGCAGATTGTGGTTCAAGTCCCAAACCTGGCAGTTTGCTTTCTCACTTTCCCTTTATGTCTCTCTCTCTGGTCAAATCAGAAAATAAATAAACAGTAATAACAAACAGAATTAAATAAATAATTACTTAAAAAAAAAAGAAGAAAGCAATTTCTTCTCTATCTTCCTTATAGTTAAAAAGAAAATGCAGTAGGTCCCCGCAAATGACAAACGTGGACTTGCAATCAAGGATGCAAGACAAAGACAAGAGACAAATGGATGTTTAATTCTTTATACATACATACACACACACACACACACACACACACACACACACATACTTTAAAGAGGTTTCTGCCATAGGGCACGTTCCCTCTGGGGAGGGGGGAAAAGGGCGGAGTGAGAAATCACCCCCAACCCCCACCCCCACCCATCCCTTCTTCATTCTCTTCCTGGGATCTTAGGCAGGCACACACACATGCCTGGCGAGATTTTCAAGCCACTGAGTCTGGGACTAGAACCAGGGTTAGCAATGTGAGACTACCTTAGCCACCATGCCACTCACTGACCCCAACATCTCAATTAAAAAAGAAAAAATCTTGAGGGAATAAGAGAAATGAAAATTGTCTACTAATAATTCAACCTCCAGCCCTCAGTCTCAAGTGGAGAGGCAAGGGGCAGGCCTTCAGAAGACTCCTCCACTGCAGCTAAGAACTAGTGCTTTCAGGGAATAAGACAAATGAAGACTGTCTACTGATAATTCAGCCTCCAGCCCCCAGTAGAGTGGTAGGGTGCCCCCTAATCTGCTGCACAAAGGGATGAAAATGGAACAGCAAAGAGATTGCAGATTACCTCCTCCTGCATATCCCTGAACGCTCAGATTGAACTTTTAGAAATTAGGAAGAAACATATAACCCATCAGATGACTAGAAATTATCGCAAAGGTACAAGAAATATGAGAAACCAATACTCCCCACCACCCACCACCCCCGCCAAGGGAAAAGAATGACTCCTCTTCATCCACACACAGTACAATAGAACTTGTGGAAATGTCTGATAAAGAACTTAGAATAGTCATAGTGACAAAGCTAATAGAGCTACAAGGGAAGAGAGACAATGAACTCCAGAAGAGGCAGGAGAATAGGGCCAAGGAGTTCAAGGAAGTGAGGAAGTTCTTGTATAATCTGAAAGAGGAAATACGTATCATAAAAAAGCATCAAATGGAACTGTCAAGAGATGAAGAGTGTAATAAAGGAAATAAAAACCTCCCTTGAAAGTATTAAAAGCAGAGTAGATCATACAGAATGATCGAATCTCAGATATAGAAGATAGAATCACTGGCCTAGAAAAATCCACCACAAAGACTGAGAAAACAGTCCAAAAAAATGAGAATAATATATGAGAAATACTAGATACCGTTAAATGCCAGATTGACCAAGACCACAAAGAAAAGATACTCAGACTGGCAGAAGAGAAACAAGTTACCTACAAAGGATATCCCATCAGGCTAACTGCAGACCTCTCACTGGAAACAATGCAAGCAAGGAAAGAATGGAAAATATATTCAAAGTGTTGAGTAAAAACCAATTTCAACCAAGAATCCTATACCCAACAAGATTAATCTTTATATGGGAAGAAAAGATAAAAACATTCTCAGATAAACAAGAATTTACCAACACCAGACCAGTTCTCCAAGAAGTTCTGAAGGGAGTGCTGTATCAGGAAAACTAAAGTCAGACACACAGAAATAAGAGTTAAAGAACATCTAAGAAAAGGGCCAGCTTAATGGTAGAGACAAGTACAGAAGTGAATATTATCTTCCAGAATTTAAACGGAAAGCTTGGACTACAACAGAAGTTAGATGAAGTACATGAGACTGAACTGGTGAAATAGAATTTTATGACTTTTGACTAAAACAATACTGCTCTTTTTCTATGCTTTGTACTCCAGAGATAAGGAATTTTGTCTTCTCTTGAATTGTCAACAGATCCATGCACCTACTGTTTGAACAGAATCCTAACCTGTTTCTTGGCTTTATGTCTTAAGCAAAGTTCTCTTAACATTTTTTGAATTTTATTTGTTAAAGCTAAAACTGCCTTTCTTGCCATAGGGCGGGCGCCACCACGCACAAAACTGCCTTTCTTGAAATTAAAAAAATATATTAAGGGAACCAGCAGTTAGCATAATGGCTATGTTGCAGGACTCCGACATAGTCGACCGCGGTTCGCATCTCGGACCCGGTGGCTTAAAACTCACGCTGGGCGTGTGTGCGTGCGTGCCCAAGATCCCAAGAGGAGAGAGAATGGAGGAGAGGGGACTGCGCCGTGGCTATCCCCCCGGGGGATGATTTCTCGCTTTCTGTCTTTGTCTTTCTCTGTCTGTCTAGCAAGCACACGTACCCTATAGCAAAAACCTCTCCAGGAACAAAAAAAATTTAAAAATATCTATTTAATGACCACAGTAAGCTATACAGCCTCAGCTAGGTGCTATTTTATAGTATATTCATAGTACTCACACTTTTATGCCTAAAGTCAAACATTTGTTCACCGATATTTATATATCAGCTGAACTTGCTATTGAAAGTAGTTAGATCGATTAAGATATTTTGTTAACCAATAAAACGTAGGGGGGGAAAAAGACTTGGAAAGCAACTGCAGATACCAGAGACAGTGTGGGGAGGAGGGTGGGAAGTGGCAGAGGGTGAGAAATGGGGGGCGGGGAGGGATTTTATGTGTGTGTGTGGTGTGTGTGTGTGCGTGTGTATAAATAAGAAATAGAAAATTATTTGTTGATGATAACATGTAGGACTAAGCCACTATATAATGTATTCTGGATGGGAAACTGCATTTTGTATGCTGTGATGATGTTTGGTGAATGAATGTAAAATAAATAAATTAGAAAAAATAAATAAAATAAATAAATCTTCACAATAACCTGATGACTAGGTCCTACTCTTCTCTTTGACAGATGAGGAGGCAGATACTAGGAGGGTCAGCCATTTTCCTAACATCTCCAGTTTGTAAGTGTCAGAATCAGTGTATGAATATAGGCAACCTATCTCCAGAGTCCATGCTTTTGACCACTATTGTAATAAAAACTTCAAATAAAGTTACTAATAAAAGTAAAAAATAGTAAAGTACTAATATAGAACCCATTTTATGTGTCAACTAATTTTTGGTGTACTAATCTGAAAAAACAGCAGAGAGCCTGGCATAGCATAAATCCTGAACATGAAAATGAATGTAAGAATGTATGTTCCTACAGATAAACTTATTATTCCAAAGAACGTAAATTCCAAATGCTAAAGGTAAATTTGGAACACAGTTATTCCGTACACCAGGGACTTACTATATTTGTCTTCTAGCCAAGAAAACACAAAGATAGCTGTTTTTATCAGTAGCTATTACCTACAGCAAAATATTTATTATATGTCAAGCTGTATTAGCACATGATTTTTAGAATTTGAATTAAACTGCTCTTAAAATAATCAATATTGTTCCCTGAGGACTCCCTGTTCATGTATATAAAACTAGAAGGCACAAAATATTGAGAAGATAACCACAATGTACAATAAATTACATTGTGCCAGAGAAGCAAAATGTATTATTTTGAGGCCCACAGAATTCTAACCATCCGAGTGGGAGTTCTATTTCTGACAACAGTAACAACTTAAAAAACTCTTATTTCCAGAGAAATAGCCTTAGACGTAGCTCACCAAAACCATTTTTAGTTAGGACATTCTATACCCTCTCCTCTTCTCCCCTAGGGGTCTGGTATTTAACCACTTGGTGCTGGGAGAACAGGCACTTGAGCAGTAGAGTTCCTTCACCTAAGACATGGGGAGACAGGAGCAGGGCACTAGGTCTACCCAAAGCCAGAGCAGCAGAAACGGGTCTGTCATAACCAGATCTCTCTGATATCTCGTCCTATTGTTCACTGTTCTACCTTGGTTCTCATTTTTTTAAACCAAGAAACACATGGCTCTGAAAACACATGGCCAGCAGGTAGCATGATGGTTAAGGTGCTAGACACTCCCACATGGCTGACCATGGCTCGAGTCCCAGATCTGATGGCTTGCTTTCCCACTTTCTTTTTTTTTGGAGAGGGTTTTGCTATAGGGGGCGTGCGCTGGCCAGAGAGAGACAGAGACAGAAAGAGAGAAATCATCCCCCAGGGGGGATAGCCACGCCGCATTCCCTTCTCCTCCATTCTCCTCTCAGGATCTTGAGCACACACGCACACGTGCCCGGCATGAGTTCAAGCCTCCAGGTCCAGGACTCGAACTGTGGTCGACTACATGGGAGTTCGGTGACATAGCCATTATGCTAACTGCTGGCCCCAGCTTTCCCACTTTCTCTCTCTGTCTCTCTCTGGTCAAATTAAAATAAATGAATGAATAAATAAAATTAAATAAAAATAATCCTTTAAATAAAAAAATTATTATTACTACCATTCTTTAGTATACTATAGGACATGTGCACTCAGGAGAGAGAAAGAGACAGAGAGAGAGAGAAAGAAATGAAAAAGCAAGCCTCCAGGTCCAGGACTCGAACTGCAGTCAGCCATATGGGAGTCTAGAGCCTAAACCACCACACCAACTGCTGGCCCCACACATGGCTTTTCTCTTCTAATAAAAGTATACACAACACACACACATAAACACAAAATCTGGGAAAATCAAACAAGAGTTTTTATTTTTTTTGGGGGGGGGAGAGATTTTTGCTATAGGGCACGTGTGCCCACTGGAGAGACAGAAAAAATGAGAAATC